GTTCAAATCCCAGCCCTGGCGACGTGAAGAACATGTGAGTCACGAGTGCAGGTGCCCCACATCCTGATGGGATAGAGAGACAGAGGAGCAGGGAGTGTGGCACAGCCACGCCCAATTGGAGGGTGCTTTCTCTCTCGCCTTCCTTTCTGGTGAGTGCACATACCCTTTGGCAAAAAACAAGCAAACAAAACTACAAAATCTTAAGGAACTTTAGTTTAGTGATAATAAGCAGACTTTTATAATTCCCCTAGTGTTTTACTTCTAACATCAAAAAGGTACCATCATTTTAAATAGCTCATCACTTAATTTTGTTTATAATTCAAATGTGAGAATTTATTCAATTGAGTGATAAAACTTTTAAATTGCTTTTTTTTTTGGAGAGAGATTTTTGCTACAAGGCATATGTGCTCGCTGGAGTGACAGAGAGATAGAAATGAGAAATCACACCCCCCCAGGGAGGATGGCCATGCTGCAATCCCTTCTCCTCCATTCTCCTCTCGGGATCTTGGGCACGCACGCACACATGTCCGATATGAGCTTTAAGCTGCCAGGTCCGGGACTGAACCATAGTCAGCTATATGGTAACCATTATACCATGTGCTGGTCCCTTAAATCACCTTTTATTGTTCTGAAATAACTTTTCCTGATCTATACAGGTATACCAGTTATACTCGACACATTCTTCTGGGTAACCCTTAGTCTGTTCCTTGGTGTAGGAGTCTCTCTACAGAGTTGAGGATGTCAAGGGATGGAATCATGACGAAAATAGCTCAGTGGCACATAAAACTCAATCCTTTTTTTTTTTTTTTCTTTTGATTTTCTCTATAGAACTGGTTCAAGACAGAGACAGGGAGAGGGAAGGTGAGAAAGCAACTCTGGAGGGATGGCCACATCACAATCCCCTCTCCTCTATGTTCCTCTCAGGATTCTGGGCATGCATGCACACATACCCAGCATGATTTTTTATCCCTTTTTTTTTTTTTTTTTTTTAAAAAATTTTTTTTTTATTTTTTTTTTTTTTTTTTTTTTTTTTTTTTTTTACAAATTTTGACCAGAGAGAGATGGAAAGTGAGAAAGCAAGCTGCCAGGTCTGGGCCTTGAACCATGGCGGACCATGTGGGAGTCCAGCAGCTTCAACATGCTACCTGCTGGCTTCCCAGAGTGATTTTCAAGCCACTGGGTTCGAGACTCCTACCTGGCAGTCAGCCTTAAGGTATTTAGTTGCCTTAACCACCATGCCACCTGCTGGCCCCCCAAACCTCAATCTTTACATTTATTTATGAAAACTACACAAGGATCAGGAACAGCACAGGATTGTGTAATTAGGTCAGAGTACTCCCACACCATACCATGTTTGATCTCATATAAAATCGAGGATACCTCAGAGCTACTATTTAAAGTCCCAGTCCTGTAATTTGTACAAATGTAATTAAATCTTATTTAAGATTAGTTTTGAATGTAGAGACACTACCAGGATCTAGGGTGCTATAGAGTGAAATGGGCAGCCTTCAAGTGAGGTAGTTGGAAGAGATGGGAGAAAGGTACAGAGGAAACCCTACCATACCCACAGCTGTGCTTAGAGAGTACAATGAACAAATCAGGACCTCTAGCCAGCCCAGTTAGGAAATATGGTATAATATGTTAAGGTATTTCTAAATGTTTTAGTGATCATAAATCTAGTGAATAGGAAAGCAAAAAGATTACCTAGCAAACTATTTCCTAAAAAATGTATGTAAGACAGTTATTCTGTGACTTGATTTCCATTAATTAATAGAGAAAACATTTTTGCTTATGGCAGTAAAGAATTACAGTTGTTCAGTTTTCTATTTCTTATGGCCTCTGAACACAGGGGTTAAAATATCCATTCTTCAGCCTGGAAATGAGCTCATTTGTGAAAGATAAAATTTCAGTTGTTTCTAACTTATGTCCTAGAAATAGTGATGATATTATTATTATTAAAACTATTTCAGGGATCAGCAGATGGTACAGTGGCTATGTCGCTGGACTCCCATGTAGTCAACAGTGGTTCGAGTCCCAGACCCAGTGGCTTAAACTCATGCCGGGCATGTGTGTGCATGCCCAAGATCCCAAGAGTAGGATGGAGGAGAGGGGATTGCGGTATGACCATCCCCCCTGGGGGGTGATTTCTCACTTTCTGTCTCTCTGTCTCTCTCTGTCTTTTTGGCAAGTGCGCATGCCCTATAGCAAAAATAAATAAAGAAAGAAAGAATTTCATAAGAAATTTAAAATATTTTGTATCACATTTCACGAAGCTCTGAAAAAAATGCAGCAATGGGCACGAAGTCCACAAATTACTGTTATTGCCATTTTACTGCAAAATAATCTGAATGACAAACATAGTTTAAACATAGGTCATCAAGATACAAATACTTTCAGGACACATGTGAATTCCTTACAAAACAGAAGTTACTTTTTTTCCCATTCCCTTGCTGACCTCTCTCCACTCCAATACTTTTCAAAGGTACAGAAAAGCAATTACTCCCTGCTGACCCAAATTCTGCTCCTCAGGGAAAGTTCCTATTTTTACCTCCGAGCATACAGCCAAAGCCCAAGGGATGCAGGTACTGCGTCTAACTTGGAAGCTGACTTTTAACAGAAATCACAGACACTATGAGTGAAGCTCTATTGGACAAACACTGCAAGCGACTGTAGCTCCATCTGTGGAAATACCGTGGCTGGCACGCTGAGGATCATACCTTCTCTGAGACAGCAGTGAAGGTCATGGCGTGGGTCATCAGTGACTCACCAAAAGTCAACCTCTCGGCTTTATTCATGTTCTTCAAGGAGACGCCAAACACTAACTCATGGTCATAGCTGTAAAAAGAATGACAGCACAAAATAAAAAGAGGGCAATCCTGGGGAGGAAACTGGACGAAAAAGGAACACAGACGAAACTGAAGGGACCCAATTTCCTGAACAAATATGGGCTCCAGCTTTTTCAAAATGAAAAAAAAAAGCTAATTTATTCTGTCTTTTAGCAGATTTCTTTTCTCTTGACAACCATCAAGATATTTATTCAATTTCTACGAGTAATGATTACTTGTAAGTAACCCTAAAATGGGGTATTTAATAGCTAGGAACTCTTGTATAGGCAGATTTCTTTTCTCTTGACAACCATCAAGATATTTATTCAATTTCTACGAGTAATGATTACTTGTAAGTAACCCTAAAATGGGGTATTTAATAGCTAGGAACTCTTGTATGATTTAGTTTGCAAATGAACCATCCTTGTCATGAACGATCATCAGGAATGCTCTCAAATATACATGCAAATTATAAAGACAAAATACTAAAGGTACAAGTAAAATAATCTGTTTTAGAAGGATCAACTGGGACCAGCAGATGGCATAATGGTTACATCACTGGACTCCCATGTAGTAGGACTGCAGTTTGAGTCCTGGGCCTGGTAGCTTAAAACTCAGGCCAGGCATGTGTACATGCGGGCCCAAGATCCCAAGGAGAACGGAGGAGAAGGAATTACAGTTTGGCATCCCTCCAGGGGTGATCTCTTGCTTTCTGTCTCTCTGGCAAGTGCATGCACCTTATAGCAAAAATCTCTCTCTCTTAAAAAAAAAAAAAAAAAAGAAGGATC